TGCCATGGGCTGCGGCTCTTCGGTGGTTCGCCTGGGAGGCGAGGGATTGTCGCAGCGTCTGCCACACCACTCTGAGTGAACCCTCAGACCCCTGAGCCACTCTGGCTTGGTGCCACCAGGCCACCAACCTAGTAGCAAGGCCAGTTGCTAGTAGCTTCTTGTTACTAGTAGTAAGGCCAGGAGCTACTAGTAGCGTTCTTGCTCCTAGTAGTGATGGCCTTTGCTCCTAGTAGCGATGGCTTGGTGCCACTTCTTGGAGTGTTCTAGACTTCCTGAGGAGAGCTCAACATCGTCCCGGTGCCGGTGGAAGTCAGGGAGGCCACGTGGAAGTCCAGGGGGTTGATCGAATGGTGAACACATGTAATTACTGAATTTCCTTGTTTGGGATGGAACAGGCTAATCGAGATGTTCTTTTTTGTGGCATCTTATGGCACTTCATTGATGTTCCATTAAAGTATGATAAACCCGCTGATGACTGGTGCGATAGTGGCCCTATATAGCACTGTAGTTGCGGGCGACAATTTCGGATTTGTCATGTAGTGCCAGCCCCCTGGCTAAATTCTGTCGTGGCTTGGTGTGTGGGCAGCTCGGCATCGGCCGTGGGCTTAGCCGAAGCCGGGTGAAGAATCCTTGTTTACTTGTCGTCCAACCCACTGCTAAAGACAATCAAACTACTGTATATAATAGATCTAGAATAGATCTATATAGACTCTCTTCACTTCAATTTACAGTATGAAGTTTACGCAAAGTACATCAGTAATATCTGGTACAGCTGATGTCTACCAATGCCTCTTTTTTCGGATGCGTTTCCTCGCCTCACCGGAGGCGTTTCCCTTTCACACTCCAAACAACACGCCTTCACCGGCAGAACGGCTCAGTCAGCTCCGCGGATGCGGAGGTTCAGCTTCGATGTCGGGAAGATCCAGAGCTCTGGAGGGACCGGGTGGACCTCCCAGGCGCGGATGGGCATTAAATATGGAGACTCTGAAGAGAGGTACCCAGTTGCGACTGGGGGCCCCCCCGAAGAAGGTACAAGAGTTGCTTTCGGTCTGGGACCTTGGGAGGCACAAACTGACTGAGCTCTCCACGACTGAGGCTCCCTGCAATCGGAGCTACTCAAGCTCTCCGGGATTTGCCTGGAGCTGGAGGACGCTCACGACCATTCGAATAGCCCTTCGAGCCGCCCATTCGTGGCGACAGAAGCGGAATCGGCCCAACCTCCCATGGAGGACGGCCTTACGTCGCACGGAATTACTGGCCTCGTCGGTGGTGCCATAGATGTAGCGCTGCCGCCGCTGGAGCCGCTGGAGCCGCTGGTGGTGGGTGGAGTGGATGACGTGAGTGGTGGATGGAGAGCACCTTCAGGTGAAGTGCTTGAAGGCTGGGGAGGTTGGGGGAGATGATCCAAACTATTAAACAACAAACGTGCAAGATGTATATTGCATCGCATCGTCCACTCATTCAGGTTGGGATACGGGGACTCAATCGGCTGCACTGCCCACGCTGTGTCAGTAGTGTTTGACAGTAGTGTGTCCAGCATGTATGGTGACGTTTGATGATACAACTATACTGCTAAGGTAGGTTGGAGGCCATTCCTACTACTATGGAGGCACGTGGAGGCCATCGATAGGGTAGAGTGTTGACTGCCCTCGTAGACGCGGACGGATCCTTCGGACAAAGCTGGGTAGACCTACACTTCTAAATACTCGTGGTTTCGTGGAGTTCACCACCTGTTTGGTATTCGGAACAGGGTTGTGTTCATCCTTGCGGTGCCCTGCCATCCACTTGATGATTTCATGTGGGTCCCATCACTTCTAGATATTCCTGGTTTCTCCCTTCTACACCTAGATGTTGCCTGATTTTCAGCTGTCTTCGGTACTGTAGGACCGGTGCTGACTGTCAAATCCGCTGAGCTGGATCCACCAGTCACGAATCCACAAGGCCCTCTAGCGGCACCTTCCACGGCTTGGCCCGGTGAGCAGTGCATCAAGCAGGAAACACAGGCGCCTGATACACAGAGACTCAGCATCCGAAATTAGGGTGACACACGACTGCAAGCATTGTGTAGTCTTTTGGAAAGCCTGGGCCAGGGTCTTCTGTTGCGGAGCAAGATGTGTGGCTCCAAGAGTAGCTCTGTCGGGCCGTGGAGATCATCGTTTAGAGATGTTTTAATAACAATATAAGTTTAGAAGGGCACCTGAGGTTCTTGTGGATCGATGATGTTCAAAAAGAACTAGAGCCCATGGATCACGGACTGATTCTCTGTGAGTCGCTTCAGGCAATCATAGACCCATGTCCCACGATTTGGGGTGTGACTAGACGTCACAACTCTTTTTCAATCCAAAGACCCTTGGCATTTGGCCAGGCGAATTCTCGCCGTGTCGCCCCCCGGGCCATCTGAATCGGAGCTGGAATCTGTGTCAGTGAGATCTCCTGACTCCGAGGCAAATGCAAATGCTGTCGTGTTGAACTCCTTCATGGACAGAGTTTATAAAGAGATACCAGGTCACATGGACATCTTAAGCCGACCAGTTGCGGGTTGACCCAGAAATCCTATCTGCAAAATGATCATATTCTCTTCCGTGCCATGAATGAAGGGATGGACATTTTCAGCTTGGAACCCGTCTTTGGTCGCTGAGCTTTTGACCACTTGTTAGAGTGTTTCTCACAGCTTCTCAACCTACTGGGTGAATGATCATCCAACTGACCACCAAAAGAGATTCTGGATTTTGTGCCGACGCTTGATGCAATCTTCTTTTTGCTGATCCTGAGATTGAGAAACAGTGGCAAGCACGATGCTAGTCCTCACTCATTCCAACGTCCTCCTTGCAGCCAGTGTATTGGTCTTGTATGCCTTGCAGTGCTTGAACGTGTTTTTTTTCCGCTAAAAGTGTTCACCAGATACCGAATTGCAACTATTTGAGCTGCCGCAATTGGTACATCGCCCCAATTTCAGCGGTCCTCCACCAGTCTGTATTGTGAGCACTGCAAGCATGTCGAGCCCATGGCTCACGGCTGCGGCTTCTGCGAATGTAGATGTCCGGACATCCCACACCTTTCAGCGAATTCACGTAGCCTCCGGAAAAAGGGCGAAGTTGCGTTGATTTCTGCACGAGTTCGACATGAAATATGCGGAGCAGCAGGTTTCGGGCAGGCTTTTTGTCTCACTGCCTATAGAATCCTATGGTGCTATGGACAATAAACGATATATAATGATATATATATATAGATGCTTCTGTTGGTCAACAGCTCAACAACTTTGTATCAAACGGTGTTCTGTAAGCAGTCTTCCGTTTCGATTCATTTTTGGTTCGGTGGATGGAGCAGGGTCACCCCATTTGTGACATTTGTGGGACATCCGGATGGAATAGGTATCTCATGAAGACTCATGAGTTGGACTAAACTAGCGACAAAAGAGAAACACCCAAACAGATCGATAAGTAAAACCCCACTGGCAATATATTGGACACCGTTTCTGCTTCTATCTATTTGCAGATCATATTATATGATCTATACCGTACCATTCACTCCCAAAGCCGCTCTGGTCCACCGAGGAGCTGCGTTGGCGAGTCTGCGTCTTGCAGGCGGCAGTCGTGAAGGCGCTCCAGGGCGTGGAGCGCCGCAGCCGCTCGTTTCATCGTCCTTGGGTTTCACCCAGTCTTGAAGACAGAAGAAAGAAGTTTGTCTTTGGGAGTTTGTCTTTGGAAGGGTATAGTCTTTGAAAGGGCATAGTTTTTGGAAGGGTATAGTCTTCATAAAGAGCAAAAGAAGTTTGTCTTTGAAGGGGGGCACTTGATCAGACACTATACCCAAGAGCTTGCTATCGGGATTATTGGGGACAATGCTATTGGGGACACACGACATAGCTCTTAAACTGGTCGGTATCACGGTTGCACGAATGGAAGGTTCCTAGATTTCAGGAATTTGCTTTAGCAACAGGTCTTGGGATGGGGGACCCGTGGTTCCAGTTGAAGTCGACGCACGCGGCGCAGGTGCCAATGGTCCTTGCCACGTTGAGGCAACAATCCGGGCACATTTGTATATATGGTAAACCCGGGCACTCTGGTTGACCAGTGAGAAGGAACAGATTCCTCTAATTCAAGGAGCAAGAAGATAACACAAACCATCGTTTGCTTTCAGCGGAAGGCAGTTTACAATTGGCTCGCCGGGCTTGCGGTGTTTTCCACCAGACATGATGATGACCTTGCAGCTACCAGAGAGTGATGTGTCCGCGCCTCCTGTTGACATATCTGAATAGACTGGACATAGTTTGGTGATTCAGCAACCTTGACCAAGAGGACCTAAAGAGTGACCTAAAGTTAAGCACCTGCAAGCAGCCGCCAAGCATATAGGCAAGCGGTTCTGTCCCTTCATGGCCCTTGCGATGCTTTTTTGTGAACAGTCATGGCACAACGTGGCACGCATACAGCCTCTTTCTGCTTCCCTCAAGGTGGCCAACAGATTTTCGCGAGGCCGCAGGGACCAGACCGATGACTGCTGGAGCAGTTGTCCTGGGATTTGGTGCGATGAAGATATTAGTTTGCCACACTCTTCCGCTATCCAATTAATACGAAACTCCAGCTTTGAAACAGCGGAAGAGGGCGCTGTTTGGGCGCTGGACCCGTGTGCCGACAGGGTCCGGAACTATTTCCAAGTGCATTGACGTTGACAGCTCTCACCTGGTGGCAGGCCGGATGCTTTGTTGATAGGGTTTCTAACATGCGTGCAGCTTGTAAAGAGCACTAAGCATCACTGATTCATGGGGCCTTGCCTTTGGACATCCAAAACTCCCTACTTTGCACGGCAGCACTGCAGAAATAGATTCGACAGTATTTGTTTCAAAGCTGGGCTCAGCTCTCAGTGATTTCTTCGGCATTTCTTGAAGCGGGGCAACTCGATGTGCTCAAGACGCTCTAGGCTCAAGCCCCTCATGTTCCCGCTGCAATCCGGTCACATGAGCAACTTGAGGCACGGGACAATGGATCTTTCACTTTGTGGGGATGACCGAAGGAACCAGTGGATGTGGAGTTTCCTGGGAATCGCAGCTATTGGAGCTCCTGAGCTCAAACATCAGTTTGGAATACAGCCTTCGAAGGGATTTGCTCTTTGCCAGCAGTGGGAAGCACATGCCATTCCCGCTTCGCGAAGATTTCTTGAACGCAAACACCAGATATTGGCCAATCTGGTGCAGTTGGAACCATTGGGTTTCTCTCACCGAGCTGCCACAACCCAACGGCATCAGAGGCATTTGGAAACGTGGGCATGAACTTTTGTGCCTTCAGGCGCAAGGGTGTCTGCAGTTGAAGGGTTCCCTGCTGTACCTAGCGGTTGCGGCTACACGTGAAAGGCTTAGTAAAAGATTCAAGAACCTGTTGATTTACCTTTTGTTATATAGCATTAATCTAGTGACAGGACACCCCAGGATTCTAACATGGAAGGGGGGAATCCACCTCCGCTTTGCAGAAATGTGCGGAGGAGCCCAATTGAGCCCATTGAGCCCATTTCTATTGGGTTCTTTTGTTTCTTTCTTTGGGGCCCCATGCCATGACCCAGGGCCATCGAGCACATTGGCTGTCTGTGGATGCTTCCAGTCGCCCTGCGAAAGTCGAAGATGAGTGTGGCACATCCGCCGCCTGCGCCTGGTGCACTCTGAGTGACGACACCACTTGCTTCACTTGGTTGGAGGGTGATCAGCTACGTTGGGCAGATGGGGATTCATGGACTCGAGTGTCCTTGGAAGAGCTTCAGGACATCACTGCCTCTCTGACTCTTGTACCAAGGTGTTTACCCGTTAGAACGCATTTGATCCTCTCCATCAGGGCTCTTAGGCTCAAGTACGCCGTGCTAATGATTTAATAGGCAGCCTCCAGGAAGTTGAGGGGGGTCTTGAAGGGGCTGTAGTTCATCCCAAAACACACCCATAGGAACGGCTATTCAAAAAAATCAATTGGGTTCTCTCGCTTGCGCTCTCTCTCTCTCTCTCTATTTATCTTTATTTCTGTTATTTTCCCTGCGGTTTGCACATGCACCGGGTGCTGTGTTGAGGAATTCGCTGTCCATTTGTATGCTCTTGAGATCTGTTGGCGATGCAAGAAATTTCCAGGCATCCATCATCGAAAATCAGCTTCAGCAACTTCGTGAGACTTCTGGCACAGCTTATCCATCCTTTTCCGCTATCTTCGTGGTGTTTAAACTGCAAGTTACACAGTTACACATGGCCATGACACAGTTGTTTATGGGTCAAGATCTGGCATGCTAGGGTTGTTGATCGTCTGGAGAGAATTGAGTCATGGGTTTGCGATGGTGGGGCATTACTGGCTCAACTTAGACTCAACTTAGTCATGTGAAGAAGTATAGAAAACATAATCAAACCTATACACAGTTTCTTCTGGCTTTTGTTGACTTTTGGTTTGATGTCTTCATAAAGCAGATGACCACTCCGCAGCAATTGTTGTGTTTCTTCCATTGTTTCAGGAAGGGAGGATCTGATTCCAAAATAATTCAAGATGGATATGCAGAACTACTTCGTTTGGTGCCCATCAATGAAGAACTCTGGCGGACGTTTCAGCACGCTGTTGCCAATCTGCCTCAACTTCTGCAGCAGAGGACCCAAACATGTTTCTGCGATTTACTGCTAACTTTGATAGGGACATCAAGTAGCTTTGATAGGGTGTTCTTCACATGCATACAATAGCCTGCTTGATGGAAACAATCCTAGGTCAGCAGCGCGTTGGCGTCAATGTACCGAACCCCTTTTGGAGTTTGCCCATAGACCCTGCAGTGTGACCGTAGACCTTCGCCAGACACCAAACGCTTTCAGAGACCAGGATTCGGAACACACCCCAGGGTTTTGTGCTGCAACCCCAGTCCTATCATGCTGTTTCTTGGTTTTCATCCTTGGATGGGAGGAGGCGGAGGTATACTGTGGACTTTATCCGCCAGCATTTTCATGTTCTCTACATTGGCCATAGCTTTTTGCACTTGAACTCACGGATTTTAGCCGAGTCCTGGCAAGATTGAAGAGCTAGCAAACCAGATCGCGAAAACAATTTCAGACTTTTCTACTGTATATAAGTGGTATTTACTTGTCAGATTGCCGGAGACCAAGGATGAGGATGAAGAGGCGACCGATGCTTTGCAGTCGCAGCCTTGGGTCAATCAGAATTTGCGGAAGAACCCTCTTTGCAATGATGTTGGGGAATTGCATCGTGATGATTTGGCAGAGGATCTCTTCACTCTGCCAGAGGACATGGGAAGAGAAACTACCCTAGCTGGGAATCCACGCCTGCATTTGTGAAATGTTCACCTGGCACCATCCTGCTCCTGGGGTAAAATGCTGGCCTTTTCAAGGTTTATATATTATATGTTCAAGATGTTGGTGTGATTGACGGATTTTTGGAAAGACCTTTGTTTTCTTCTTTTTAACCGTGTGATCGCTCCAATGACCCACTTGGGCGGGTTTAATTTGGCCAGGAGCGACTTCCAGACACCTTGCCTTTGGAGCACTTTGATGTCATTTGGCTACGCAACTGCCCTGAGCCCTTGACAGCGCACGCGTTGCAGGTCTTCACAGCCATATTGAAAGTGGCCTGGCATGGTGTTTTGATGCGCACGATCAAGGTTCAGGTGCAACAGATAACATCATGTGCGGCCAGAGATGCAGTCAACATACTCCGTTGAGGCTTTCGGGATGTCTTGTGAGGTACAAGATTCCCACCTTTTCCCCAACAAACAAAAAACTTCTAAGCTAGAGTTGTGTGGCCATCACTTTGAGGCCGGTGGTCTTTTGATTGCGATGCCCGCCCACTTGAATCCTTCGGTGCAGCTGCCCAAAGCATTGAGCTTGGAAGCAGCATGGGAGTTGGCGGGTGGAGTTTTTATGGCCAACCACGGAGTGACTCAGCTCAACCACATAGTCTCCCTCTTGCTTGGTGCATAAACCTGCCGATTCAGGCGTGTCTTTTTACTGTGCAGTAGGATGTAGTCTTTGCTCAGTATGCAATTTTTGGCGATTGACCGTTCTAAGCGCCCACAACTGAAGGCTACTTGGTCACCTTCGTGCAGAGCTTGGCGGAAGCTTGGCGACAGCACAGAACTGAAGGCTTCATAGAAGCTGTTTCAGCAGCATTCTCGGCAGACAGACATTGTGAGCATGGCATCTCAGCTGACTTGCTCCTGGTCAAATCAATGCTATTCATGTTGCAATATCAAAATGTCAAGAAGTCCAATATGCTTTCCTTTTTACAGCTTGCGCAGATGACACACTGCCTCACTGAAGGGTGTACCACGACAGACTCTGAATGACCGTTGCCCTCCGATCCACTTCAGACCAGCGACCGGATGTGGGCTTTCAGACCTCCTCAGGGCCGGCTTTCTAACTTTTTGAGTCTGAAGAAGATGTTTTGCGTCAGAAGACTGCTGATTTACACGGTGTGGCCGTGATTCGATCTAGAGATGTCTCCTGAAACATGATGCGTCGGGAAAAGATGCTCTGCAGCAGATGCCCCTGTTCTGCTGGGTGAGCCTGATTGGGACTCGTTATTTTACTCCAACGCCATTTAGACTTCACCAACGTGCTTCTTTTCAACACCGCACAGCGCCGATGCAGTGCCCAGTGCCCACTTATCAAATGTCCAGCAAGCATGTTTGATGTCCCAGCCCAGGCGAAGAATCGAACTAGGAACAAGTGCATCGCTACTAGGAGCAAGGGCCTTACTAGTAGTAACAAGAAGCCATTAGAAACAAGAATTAAGTTAAATTCAATCGAACCGTGTCGGGACAGGTCACCTTTGGATCCTCCCATCCATGACCCGTTGGTGGCGACCAACTCCCCCGGAGCGGTGGACGGTGACAGGCGATCTTCCTGGTGGCCTCGCAGCACCTGGTGTTCCGGGAAGAGGTCTGGCGGGTCAGGTGGATGGACCAAAGGCGCCAAGTAAAAACTCTGCCAGGAGCGGGGTCAAAGCAGTCAAGGTCGAACTGCTTGGCACCTGAGTTGGAGAGAAGATGCTTTTCGATCCTTTTTTTAGGGTTCAAGAACATGTTTGAGGTGGGTTTCTAGTTTTGTAGGTAATTAGAGTGTTTTAGATTCAGCTGCAAAGGTAGTATTCCGTCATAGACCATGCAGAGTCCTGAGTTGGATATGACAGACTGTGGTTTTTATCGTGTGACCGAGCCAGGCTTTGAAGCGTTTCACCAGCTTTTGTGCCTGGAAGCCTGGAAGATGACTGGAATCAGCTAAAAAAAATGCAATCTTCTGTTAGGCCCCCAAACCTGAGACATGTAAAGATAGATGCATGGCAAATAGATAGCAGGACATAGAAGTGTGCAGAGAAACGGGGAACACCATTTCTGCACTGAGTTTGGAGACATGTTCAGCTGGGGTGGCTCGTGAAATTTGCAGATAGCATTCCAGCTGGGCTGGACATAAGCACACACACACATGCAGGTTCAACACGGCAAAGTTGGACGAGATGCGGTTCGAAGGCGGGATCTGACAGTCAAAGCCTGCGGCCCACATACGTAAGCCTTTTTCGTGGGAGGGTCAAGCTGTTCTGTGCAATTGAGGAGTTTGGAAGAATGTGGAAGATGAGAATGGGGAGTCGGAGGGGGCATATATTAAATATGGGTGTGGCTCAAACAGTATGTGAGGCATGCTTTGAGAAACAAGGATGTCACAGCTCCGAACTCAAATAGCGTCCTTTCACCGGTCGAAGCAAACGGTTCCCAGACCTTTGCTGATTCGCTTGGCAGCCAGTGGCTTAGTGGACTGAGATCACAGACAGACTCACCTGCGCATTTTCATGTTAAGCCGAGATAGAATTTGCTTCATGGCCTTTGCTGGTAGAGTCTGGTAGAGGAAGGTTGTCTCGCTTTGGATTCCTAACTTCCGTTTGAGTGCTTCTTCTCAAACAACACTGGTCCAGTGGGTTGGTACCTTGGAAAGCCAGATCCTAGGCCTTGGCTGCGTCCCATGGGTTGTTGGATGATGCTCGGAGGCTTCTGACAAGGCCGCTGCTCAAGATTTTCCCTTGAGCTTCGGCATAGCCTTGGCAACTCTCCAAAGGCCCAGCAATCTACTAAGATGCTTGCAGAAGCTATGCGACTGCAAACCTGTCATCATTCTCCAATCAATCTCCAAACCTGTCATTCTTACCATCTAATTCTTCAATTCTTGGACCGCCATTTGTTCCTTCACAGCTTCCAGGCTCTCACGCCGCAGCACGTCCACCCAGTCGGCGTTGCTGGGGAGGCTCCGCCGCCTGGTCACAGCTCAGTTGGGAGCCTGGAAGAACAGGGCAAAACAAGCTCGTGCAGCTACAGTATCAGGTTGGAGGCCATCGCTTCCAGGTTGGAGGCCATGCCTACTAGAAAGAAAGGAAAAAGAAAAGGAAGAAAGGTCTCATAGGTCTCATAGATGTCATCCCAGGCAGTAGAGGACTGCACCAAGAGGATCTGACTTCTGAACTTTCCCACATGGGCATGCGGCATAGCAGCATCAGAAAGTTCTGAACTGATATGGCGGTCATGATTCATTATGTGCTTCAGCCCAATGCTGTTGGGCTTCTTGAACCTCCAAGGCCCCCCTGCTGGGCCAAAAGTGGGCTGCTCAGAGCGAGAAGCGCAGGGCTGAAACCGGTTTTGGTCTCGGCAGGACAGTTGCACCCGCAGGATCCCTTGCTCCTAGTTGCTTCTTGTTACTAGTAGTAAAACCAGGAGCCCCTAGTAGCGTCCTTGCTCCTAGTAGCGATCGTAGCGATGCCAGGAGCCCCTAGTAGCGTCCTTGCACCTAGCAGGATTCTACCCAAAACTGACATGCAAGTCTTCAGTCTTCATATTCTGTTCGGATCTTTAATTATGTCATATGTGGAAGCGGTGATAAGATGGCATTGAAGTGGAGAGAGAACCACCAGCAAGCCACTACTGACTCCATCATGTTTCATCTACAGATCCTCAAGCCAGGTCCCTAGACTAATGGCCCATGGTGATGGACCATCGGTGACCATCGTGGCCCGAACCACTAGTTGTTGGAGGAAGACAATCAGATCAACCCTAACCAAGTGAGCTCTATAATTAGTATAGAACCGATGTGCATCATGTGCATCTGCAGAAAGTAGAACCTGAATAAGAGCTTGACCAGCCAGTCCTCCAGTTCAACTCAGCTTCAAAACGTTGAGCGTTTGGGGTGTATTTGACCAGTAACAAAAAGCTACTAGGTGGAGGCCATATGAGGCCATCACTATTAGGTTGGAGGCCAATAGTAACAAGAAGCTACCAGAGGGTTCCGGCATCGCTACTAGGAACAAAGGGCATCGCTACGATCCCACCGGCACCGGGTCAACTCCAAGCACCACCCGGTATGCCGGCGACCGGAGGGGCCGAAGAAAGCCGGTGTCTCTTTGCTCGAAAGGGCCGACCATGCGCTTGGGAGCTTAGTGCTTCACAGGACTTCACTGGAGTTCACTGCTGCAAATGTCTTTGCTTCTGTAAATGTCTTGGAAGCTGGCATCGAGAACGCAACCCATGTTTTTTTTGTGATGATGAGGGTGATTTCTGCTGTTTGTGAAGTTTGGGTCCACAACTAATAGGCAAGCTGCAGCAACTGTAGATGTTGATGTGCTGTAGCAACTCAAGCGATCTTGGCACAGAGTTCCTATTCTCCCATCCAGGCTATCTCAGCTGAAAGCGGCCGTGTTTGGAGGACGCCTACCTGGCCTACGCAGATGTCTTCCAACTTGTTTGACCACTCGTTTCCATCGAGCTCATCACTGTTGAGTACAAACTGAGTACTGCTTTGAGGAACAAGTCCTAAGTGCTTAGAAGAGTGTATCCAGAGGTATCTAGATCATGTTCATTGAACATGAAACAAACGTATAGAATGGAGATCAGGAAGCGGCCAGGGAAAACGACATCACACACACACATTCGCACCATCCACGTCTTGTTGGAGGATCACCTATGGAAGACGTGACCCAGGCCTCAGCAGACTCTTTGCCGAGTTACCGCGAGCTAGGGGATTGCCTTTCTCTTTCCGCACTTGAACCAGGATATTTTTCATGATCTTCATGCTCTCTTGGCACTGCGAAGCGGAACAGTTTTGTGGGGTGAGATGTTGTCATCCGTGAGTCAGTGATCCGACAAGACGCAGCACAGAACCAAATCCACCTGGTTAAACACAGGATCTAGAGCACCTGGCCTGCCATCCTTTGGCCGAGTTCCCAGAAAACCAGTCTGACTGGAACCACCAACTTACTTGACTGGAACGACCTGATGCGGAGAAGCCTCAACGGCCTCAGGTACAGGTTGTGAATTCAATCCGCAATCCCATCGAATCCTCAACGGCCTCAGCACGTCCAAGTCGACGAAAGCGTTTCCTTCAGCAAAAGAAGTCAACACATGCTAAGATCGATCGCCTTTTTCCAAGTCGATTTCTGTCTCCTGAGGTGTCCAATGCCTCACGTGCAGCCTTCCGGTGTTGGATGCTGGGGCACTTGAATGGGCCCTCCGCACAGCCCTCTGCGCATCGATCGACAAGCAGAACATCGATGTGTCATCCAGAAGTATCCAGACATGCTGGACTCGTCTGACGCGGAAGTGTCGCTCAGGCGTTCGAATCGCCGCTTCCGTGCGGCGGAGATGCTTGAACTCTTGGGACCATTTGCCACTTTACCATATGCATCCATATATGCATGATGGTGGGAATAGCCGAAGACGAAAGGGGGAACACTTCGAGTGTAAGGGAATACCATCAAAATGAATGATCACCTACATACGAGTCTGAGGTTGAAAGTCCTTTTGGTCTTGCGCCTTGCGGAAGTTTTTCAGTTCACGACATCGGTCTAAACGCCAAGAACCTGTCGTGCCCAGGCTCCTCTCCCAAATGGTTTGTGATGGCACCAACCTGGCAGAAGTGCCAGAGAGCTTGAGCTCGGCGTGCAAGGAGGCCTGGAGACCCCACAGCTCGTCGTTCGCCTTCGCATGGTGTTCGTTCCAGAGACCGAAACGACCATTTGTCCCACAGCATTCCAGTGATTTTCCAAATTCTAGGGACTTCCTGTGAAGCATGGTTGATCCATTTTGATCCACACCTTGGACCCAGTGTTATATTTTTATTCCCTGGTCAACATGCGAAACATCCCCTGCTGGCAGGCATCCAGCTTCGCTTCCGCGCGCTTGCTGGACTTGAGGCGATGCCACCGGGGCCAGCACGACCAACGGATGTCCCGCTTCAGAGCTGTGAGTCCAAACCCGGGGCACCAGTCCACGTAGCGAAGGACCGCCAGGTAGGTCAACCGGTCGGTCAGGTGTCCTGGTTTTGACCGAGTGGAATTGCGAGACTGTGGTCGACTACGAACCATGTGACGTAATGCCCCATTTGATCCTATACATGGCTTGCATCGATCAACGTGGTGAGCCCTAGCGTTCTATGTGGGCGATGAAGCTATGTCACCCTGCTGAGGCCGTTTGGTGCAAAGGCGGCCTTAGAAGTGCTACCATTGTAGCAGCCTTTGTTGCACCAGTGCCGAAACAGGTGCCGAAATGCGTGGGAGCCACCTATGCTGCATATATGTACGTAGTTTTTTTTTTTTTTTTTTTTATGTTTTTGTATTTTTCCAGACCTTCCGACATCGGCAAGATTGGCCAGTGCGGTGTGCCATGAAGCAAGAACATAGATGCTCACAACATGATGCCATGTGATGCCCGTAGCATCGCAACTTATATTGTAAGTCTGAAGCATTCCCTTCATATCAATGACAGGGCCCATGTTCAAAGCCTCCAACATCTCCCTCCATGATATTGGTCGTGCTAGTTCGTGGTTCCACTATCTGAGGCCGCGATGCCTTTTTGGCGTTTACCGGGACCTTCAGGTCCACTGACTGATCAGTTTAGCAACGAATTGACGTGTATTGCTGTTGGCGTAGTAGCTTGGTTGCCAGTGCCACAAGCACAAAGCCAGGAATTCTGCGTCCAAGTGTCTTTGAAGCCCAGTTAATTATTCATTGTTCATGACTGTCAAATCAATCAAGAAATCAACCTTCATGTAAACATATGTAAGCATTTTTGCTGTAGAGCTAACAGCTAACATGGACATGGAGGCAAGGGTGGGATTTTTTTCTTTGCAATTTGTGAGGCTACGTGACACATGGCTTCGGGGGGCAAACTCTTCAGATGTGCTCCTGGCTTTTCTAGACTTTCCAGGCTTTTCCACGCTTCGTTGGACGTCTTTCATTCGGAAACACGCGTCTTCGCAGTCCAACCAACCCGGAACATCCGGCGGATCGTCCCTCCCCGAAACGCCGTGGAGCGTAACGAACCGCGTCGGACCGCGTCTCTGCGTCTCAGGTGAAGGTCTCGGCGAGTTGCAGGCCGAGGGGGGGGGGGGGAAAAACGCGGCGCGAGGGTCGCCGTTCACCACTGTCGCTGAAGGATCTGTGCGGATCCTGGATTGGGTGCTTGGAAGTCTGCAACGCATTTATACCAGTGGAGTGAGTTATAGCCGTCGCAACCGTTGAGCTGTTACCGGGCCCTTACTGGCCCCAGATCAACCATTATATCGGGTGGATCTTGGGGGGTGCTACAGGGAATCTTGGATCTGGGGCCCTTGGATGCAGAGGTTGGGCTGGTCTCTAAGCCGGTTAAGACAATGGGGCCCAACCGCCGGGATAATTTATTTATTGTTTGCAGCAAATAAGACTATTATTACTATCTTCTTTATCATTCCCTTTAAGTTTTTTAGAGACTATTCATTAATACTTAATTCCTGATCGTTCATGCAGGATAAAGAGACCATATGATTGAACCTTCATGAACGATACCAGTTATTTTTATATCCAGGATTTCATCATTGCATGTTATTCCACTTCAGATCTTACAACGAAATCCTGGATCATAGATCAAAGATGATTTTTGGGTTTTTAGGTCATTAAGAAATCGAGCGCTACAACCCCCAAAAGCATATGATGGTTTAGTTTATTCCTGTAGTCTTCCTCCAAGGGGCCATGGATTTTATTTCAGGAATGTCATTATTCAAATCAATGGCATGAACACCATCAAAATCTTAATTGAGACATGTGTATATGGAGCATTCCCTGAGTTATTGGAACCCACTGTGGTTTCAACCCCCCCACGGTTTTGTGATGCATTTCTCGCTGGGAACACCGCAGGCCTTCCTCTATGCCGGGCCCGGAGCTGCTCCGAATCGAGGGTGCCAGAGGCTTAGAAGGCGGTATCAGGTGATGCATGGTGATGCTGTGTGCAATGTGCGTGCTGAAGCCCTGGAATGCAGGATGTATTTGATCATGTTTTGGAGGTGTCTGGCCAAGAATGTGTTCAATTCGACCACTGAATTTGCATAATTTTGTACTTGGACTCGCGTAGGTCCGCAGGTGGTCAATTGCAAAGCGAACCAGAGCTTTCCAGCGGGTGACATGATCCGCATCCATCTATGAATCTATGACTAAACCTGCTGGGTAGGATGTAACATAGACATAGACAATATACAACGAATTCTATTATATAGACATCCAGTTTCAAAGCTTCAGGTGGCAACAGCCCTTTACAAACCATCCTCCCACATCCATCATTATTTGAGGCTCATGTTCGAGTCTCTGAGTTGTGGGAGTTGTAGCGGAGGGGTGACGCTACTGGTGCCCTTTCAATTGGGACGTGACGCGTCACCCGTGACTGGCGCCGTCGAGGAGCCCGCGATCGAGAATGCTGGCGCTCGCCGGCGTCATGCCGAGGTCGCTCACGAAGGGGCAGAAGACACGGTATATACCAGGAGTCACAGAGCTCGGGGTGGTGTGAAACGTCCCCTTACGTGAGTGGATGTGACAGGGGCACCCCGACTACCTCCATGGATCGCACCGACTGCTGGTAGGTAGATTTCCACGGATTGCAATCAAAATCGGAGCATGCATGACACGTAGCAATCTAGGTGAACCTTGCTGTACACCTTTGGGGGTCTTCATTCTTTGTGTGAGAGAGGAGCCGTTGTGCCATTCAGCATTTTCATGCATTTGAGCGCTTTTTCGAGAAGCAGACGCTAAATTGCCTGGGACATGAGCCCCCTGGATTGACATCCCGTTGTGACCAACAGGCCGTTCATGAAGTCCAGTCCTAAGCACAGCTTGACACTGGGCAGGGCCGGACTTTCTGGCAGTTGGAGGGTTGGCTGCTTTTGGTGGGTTTGGACCAGAGGTGTTCCTGAATGTAGATTATGTTTGTTCCATTTCATACACACCAAAACCGAAAAGATGTCTAACTGTTTGAACTTTGAACCTCTGGATCTACGGCTTTGACTTTTCATCATTACACCGCGCGAGAAGAACGATTTCGTCATGGAGCGAACATACCTCCCACCTCCCCACCCACTCTGGAGTACAGGAATCGCATGGTGAACATTGAAGGGAAACCCTCAGCTCAGAAGAGGGAATCCAGTGCAGGTGCCAGTAAAGCCGGTCCTTGAACCCCCCAGTTGACTTGCAGCCATGATAGCCATGTAGTGCTGATTGGGCATCAAAGCTGTGTGGCACAAGCCTAGTCCTTCTGTCACCGCGCATGATTCGGGAAATGGCCCGAATAGGCACCTACACACCCTTTTGGCAAACCGCCAAAGTGTACAGTTGCAAAGCAAAACCACTTCCTTTTATTAAAATAACTATTGAAACAGGTCTGGCAAGACTACATACACAAGAGGAGCTTTCTTGCATTGCTGACAGACATCCAAACTTTACTTAACCTGGGCAGGTGGGCATCAGAAGGCTGAGCTTTGCTTATTACTCACTGTAAAACAAGTAGACATAAATAAGCGAGCACCGCCATTCCGTCATTTAACGTCATTTGTCTAGTATACCTTGGCCAATGTTGGACTCCATCGATTGCAAAGCATGAGCCTTTCAATTGAGCACCGATTAGTAGTACCTTGGAGAATCCTTGAACTGCCCAATTTCTTTGGAGGTTTGTTCTGATGGAGAGGTGGATCAGCAAACACATGCCCCAGGCTTGGCACTCCAGCAGAATTGTGGCGGTGTGCGATGGTGAGGCACAACGTCCCAAGTGAGCTAATCGACAGAAAAGAGAGATTTCAAGCAATGAGCACGCTCTGCCAAAATCAACATCAAGGCGCTCAGAAGTAGTTATATAGGCATGGTTTTCCTCTACTAGTACTAGGGCTCAGTACTAGTACTAGGGCTCAGTACTAGGCGTGGTTTTCGGTGTCTTTTGAGTGTGGTTCCTTTGGATCGCTGTCCAATTTGTTCGACCAAGCTTGGCGGTTTTTCCGAGAGGTCAGGATCTCCAGGGCAAGGTTAGGTCAGCTCTTTGAAAGGATCGTGAAGAAAACAAATGACAGTCCAATTCCAACAGCTTAAATCTGGCACATTGAGTCGGGGATTTCCACGAAGGTCTTACAGTCGTATATACAGGTCTTCAACAAAAGCTCCCATCCTGTGATATCTCGTGGTATGCTGCGGGCCTTGCGGGCCTTGCAATTCTCCAGGCCTCGATCTCGTGGGAAGTTCTTCGACGATTCCCGAGTGATGCTCCCAGATTCTTCGTCTTGTGCCATACGGCATCTCGTGTATCCGACATGGACACAACCAGAAAGCGTACAAGTTGGATCGAGAGCTTTTCATGGTGCAGCAACAAAGCCCCGAAATGGCCGGGTGAGATATCCGAGAAGCACCCTGCAGCCTCTTTTTGAGGTCATATCCGAGAAGCTGAGTCAGATCCTCCTTTGGTGCCATGCCCAGTGGTCCTGTTGCACGGTATCTATCCCATCTATTTATACAATATATAATATACTGGAAAATCTATATAGCAACATTCATGGGTGGATCCATGCCTTCCTACTCCCCATCCATGAATTGTAAGAGCAGTTAAAGGAGTTGAAAGGGTGTAAGATTTCATGCCGCTGCTTGCTTTCACCCGCTCCTTTACAGACATTTGCTATTTCTTAGAGCATCTTAGAGCCTTCTTAAAGAGAACCCTTAAACAACAAATCTTGACGGTGCCAGACATGACCATGATACCTTGGACTTACATAAGTTCCTAACTTTGTTTCAAAGTCGTATAGTGATCGCCTGGTGTAAACCAACTAGCAGGAACAGCACCTTTGAGTATTTGAGTTGAAGCTATGCTAATGCTTCTTGGGCCTTGACATCCGATCTTGGTTCGCAAAGCGGAACGTCACCAACGCCCTTTCCTGCAAACAGCAAACTGGTCAGACGTTCTGCAGCCAACGACTGCTGCGTGCCAGTTCTGTGGAGGCTGGCTTCGGTGCACTCAACCTTTTTTTTGTTTCATTTTTCCGAGAGGTGATACTGGTAGACTAAAAGACATAGTTCTCCTTTCTGCAAGCTTTTCCAGGATGTGAGATGTAAAGAAGGTTGTTGATCATTTTTTTGGAGCATACTTGGCATGAAAAGAATCTGAGCCCTACCGGAAGCTCGGGGGTTGTGGTATCGTCCAACAGTTCTGATCATCCTTCAATCATTTCACTTTACAGATACTCTTTTCTGATTCTGCACTGTGTCCTAGATTACAGCTGGCCTACCAATGCACTCGTGATCAACTCTACATACTCTGTGGGACCTGCATCGGACAAACCAAGTTCATCAAACATTGTGATCTCAACAACAAAACAAACAACAAACGGTGAACTAGATACAGTAGCCTTCGACAAAACTGTCAATATTCCCTTCAAGACCGTTTGTATGTTTGTCAGGACCAAACTGATCTATTTGGAAAGTCTGGCCGTTTGTTTCGCACTTTGTCGCCAGGTCTCTCTGCTTAGCTCCTTGGGCATTGTTTTGGCCATCGGAAAGGTGGAGGTCTCAGTGACATGGACCTCGCGTTGGTGTCACCCGTTGGTGTCACCGGCGACCTGAACCGCGGAGCCCAAACGGCTGTGAGGCCGACCTCAGCAGACGGGAACTCAGACTGGACGAAGCACGAAAAGAACGATTTGACTTGGACTGTGCTGTTGATCCACTTTCCAACAAACGGAGGCAACACAGAACAAAACGGATCTTTCCAAGCGCAATTCCTGAAGCTGTGCTGTAGCATCGATATATCTGACATATTTTGACATCGCAGCGATCAAAACGACCTTTGTCGGCGGCGACTTGAGCCGTTTTCACGCCTGAGGTCAGATGTCACAACCTGAATCACAGGCGATTTCAAGTGACCTGACCAAGTCCGAGCAAAGCGTGGAAAATGGACCTGGTTTGGAGCATCCCGCAGGGTGGTTGCAACATGAGGTCAGTATCCATAGGATAAGAGTGAATCAGACCTGTCCTGAGGTTTTTGAGGACAACAAAATCAAGACTTGTAGCAATTTCAAAGGCTGAGAACTATAATTAATGTATATTAATGTTCAATTAGCTCAAACATGAGAAAACGTGAGATAAATGCAAGGGTGTACCGAAACGCGACTGTGGACAATTTGAGCAAAATTAGCCGCTGCAGTGAATTGTTTTTTGAATTGAGTTCACGGTAATTGCATGCCTTTATGCGTTTAATTCCTTTCATTTTCCCTTTCCTTTCCATTGCCTCTTTCCTTTTTGTTTTCTGTTTGTCGTTCTTTCTCCTTTGTCCATTCCACCATAATTTTCACAAACATGTTTCACACTAATTATGTAATTGTTCAAGTTTCATGTCATGTGTTTTTTAAATGTCCCTTTGCATAGTATAGAACGTTTCTCGTTTTTTTTTCTGTTATTTTTCGGTGTCTTCTGATTTCGTTTGATGTTGCATGTCCAAAACGCCCCACTGATTCGCATTCTGGTTGTGCTCCACTTCCTGAGCCGCAGTGAGGCCATGTGATTGGCCATGTGTCTCTTTTCTCCGAGCTGCGCTTTTCTGACATCACTGGCTGTTGGTCGCCTCTTCCCTCAACTCTCCCTCTCTCTCACTCCCAGCCTCTCCATCTCTTCTTACATACTTCTAAACAGGGAACCGGAACCTACTAGCGATGGCCTCCACCCTAGTAGCGATGGCCTCCAACCTAATAGCAATGGCCTCCAACCTAATAGCGATGGCCTCCAACCTAACGAGAGGAGCTACTCTTCAGTACTGAAGTTAGAGGAAGATTGTTTGGGTCCTGCAAGTCTTGGAACAACTTAACGGACAAAGACGGCGACACACAATACAATTCAACATCTCGTCGTGCTTGCAAAAATTATATATATACAATAAACGTGCTCGTGACTGCATGTTCATGGTCTTTCCCAGCGCCCCATGCCAAGGTTTTTGTTTGACTGCAAAGACGTGATTGTTCTAGATCGACAATTTGACTGGGGGCGGGTAGCGGAGTTCAAGCAGGGACAGCACCCCAAATTTTGGGTGTCAAGGTACGCACAGGACTTGGTGAATCTTGAAGTCCGGATTTTATTGTTGGAATATTTGCTTTGCTAGGCATGGAGCAATGACATTCAACAACTCGTTGACATCATGATGATGCAATTGTCTATGGTTGTCACGGAAAACCGTGCAATCTTGGAGCATTTTGCTCACTCAAAAGGATTCCTGCAACTTCTCTTTGACCCACCAGCTGCACCACTATCAGAATGTTCAACGGCCAGTGTTCTTCTACCTCAGGCTATGTGAGGGACCCAAAGCACACGATGTGACCAACCATGATGCCCAACCAGAGATAATGCATCTGATCTTCTGTGCGAAGCTCTCCGTTTTCACCGATCATTCAAAACATCCAACAGAACAAAGTGTCTATGAGTCTATGGTTTGCTGACCGAAAGAAACTCAGAACTCTGCCGATGGCGCCATGGCAGCAGTCCCGTTCCAAGCTGGGCTGCATTCGCCGCACCTCTGTGGGCCGTATGCGGCCACAGTGGTGGGGCCAGAGGTCAAAGATGCTTCACCAACCGGATTGCAGGCGACGTGTTTCCACATGACTGCTGACGTGTGCCACTGGTGCATCGAGGTCATTCGCCCACTTCAGTTTCCCAAAAACAACTCATGACATGTAGGAGATTCCATGTCTCAAAACCAGAGATGTTTGGAGACTTCCACGCAGTGCAACGATACGAATGACCATGTCTGTCCCAGTAATGGGCCTGCTCGGTGTGTTTCCTTCGCAGGTCTACTGCGACTTGGATGGGGTTTTGGCGGACTTCAACAAAGGCTGCTTGGAACTCTTCCCTGAGGGAGGCATCATCGCTGAGAAGATTCCCACCCATTTGGTTACGAAACTCACCTGGGAGGAGGAGACTGAGATGTGGAGACGAGTGGAGGAGACCAGTGGAGACCTGCCGGCAGTGAATGGAGCCCCTTGTTGAGCCTTTTCGGGGTGAATCAATGATGGTGAATGGATTGATTTAGAATCTGCTTTCGACAAGTAAACTTAAAAACCCAGATTTGGTTTTCATTGATACCGGCATCAAACAGATTTGGTTGTAGGTTTCCGGCATCAAACCTGCAATCCGTGGAGGAGAAGTCGGACTTCTTCCTCTCTTTGGACTGGACCTCGGATGGTGACTCGACCCAGCACAGCAGAAGCCGAGGAGTTGACGTCTTGTGTGTTTCCCAAGTACCAAGGGTTGGGAAGCCTTGGAGAATCACTGCCAAGGTGAAACGATGTGAAACGCTGGTCATCCTGAGGGACCCGCTAGGTTTCACAAGGTTTAAGAACTTCAGTCACTCAACTGCCAATTAAGGTTCTTTTGTGCAACCTGATCCATGATTGATTAAGTAGCAAATCCATGATTTCTCCAACAGATCTCCCCATTTCAGCAGCGTTACGACCGGTTCTCCCCGTAGGACCTGTAGGACGACTCTCCGTTCGTTGTCGAACGATCTCGAGGCGAGGAACTCTGGCGCTGGATCGATTGGAACGTGGTGCCCTCCCCAGCCATCTTGACCGGTTTGCCGATGGGACGTGCGGGACAGATGGCTTCCAAGCAGAAGGACGGCGAGAGTCGGATGGGATCGAAAAGACACGGAAAGGGGGATGAACGGTTGTCATGGGACCATGGGTCTTGGATCGTAGCTCAAGGGCCTTGCGAGACAAGTGCTGGCAACATCCAGCGCCTGAGTTTTAGATCAGCTCCTGCATATCGTCCACGGAAGGCCTCTCTTGCATAATCCTCAAATGGGCCTCACAAACGCTTGCGAACATCGACAGCCCAATCCCGTCAGTCCGAATTAGTCTCAGTGTGCTCCCTGCCAGCGTTGCAACAAGTGGATGCGTGCATAGCTCGAACGTGGGTCCAGATACAATCTTGTACTGTTACAGTTTGGTGCATCCGTGACGTCCACAATCCTTGTTGGTGGAAAGCACAGATCAGAAGTAGAAATAAGTATTGCGATGATTTGTGGGATAGGGCCTTTTTGGCGCCTACTTTGTGCAAGTTTCTCCATGGACGACTGTGACTTGAGATTGGATGGCTCACCCTAAGTTTGGGAAAACCTTGTTTCTTGGATTTGATTGAACAGTCCATCCTCCATCATGCACCGTTGCCAGCTAAGAAAAACGTCCCCCAACTCTTAATAGCTCTTCACATCTGCAAGGAGCAGTGGTGTCATCAACGGCTGGGATCTCATGTGACGGTCTTTTGCTGTGGAACTCGTTCCTCGGAGAGGATGGCAAATAACACAAAGCAAAACACTCAGATATAATTCAATCATATTCAATCTGAGTGTTGGATTGAGCCATAACACCAAAGCAATCTTGGTTTTGATGGAGGTTTGTACTTTTGTGGGATTTTGGATTATGGCACCCCTCAAACTGTCTTTGTCAGACACCTCCAGAATCATGGTGTTCCGATTCAACGCCAAGGTAACAAGCAGAAGTTCAGCGGCCCCAACTGCATCTTGATCGATGACCGCGGTGACTTGCGAGAAGCCTGGGAGGCACGAGGTGGGCTCTTCATTCATCATACCTCCGCCGCCGAGAGCATCCGCCAGCTGCGCGAAGCCTTGAACGCCTTCCATCGAAGCGATCGGAGCCGGCCGGGCGAGGAGAAGAGCCCCCCGGAGCGTCTCCACCGTCGCAACGTCCTCACCGAGCACACTTGGTGCTCCTTTGCAACTGACCAGCGTTTGTTGGGCTGCGCAGACACCGGCAGGGTGCTTCAAAAAGAACTGCCGATATCTCCATGTGCCAATCTCGCAACGGCATCGAAGTTGGATTCAACTTTGGGGCTTTGTGTGGTGGCATCAGAGGATGTTTGACGATCTCTCCAGCTTGATCCAATGTGCCGCAGATTTGCATCAGTTGTTATTTTTTATTTCGGTCAATCTCCGAGCGTTGTTCTCTTTGAGCTTGTGTTGGCTTGTGCGTACCAGTGGCTGCTGGTTGGGGAAAGGGTAGGCAACCCAATCCATGTTGGAAATTGAGAGACACCTCCAAATCCTTAGGTGCAAGTGCATTTGTCGATATTTATGAGTCAGAGCGAATGCAATTGAGAAAAACATCAAATCAAAGTGAGATAGTTCACCCTCATTGACTGGTTGGTACATGTTGGCACAAGGGAAGGGTTCTTTCTGAAAAGCTTTGACATTTGTCGGCCAAAGCTACAAGCTGCAAGGTATCCGTGCAGTATATGCCCCAGATCACCAGGCTGCCTTCAAAGGTCAAAATGATCAGATGGACGAGCAGTCACAGGGAGCTTTCCGCAAGATGCTGGAAACCCTTCGAGAGTGCTGTGAATTGGGATTGCCGCTGACCTTTCTACAAGATCACCAAGGCACCCAGTCTACCCAGGGCACCCTGATGGCTCCGTCACCTTTGCCACCACTTCCTTGGCAAGTGAAACAAGTGCACGAGAAGATGACAGAGGTGGCCCGGTTCCTCAGCATATGACACGACTTCAGGTCGCAAACTGATTCGCTTGGATTGGCTTGGATAAACTTGGACCAAAGACTTGACTTGCCCCGCAAGCCCACAGGCCTTAGTGTGATGATCAGAAAACAATAGAAAACATTGTTTCATGAATGAAAGGACATCGGATCTCAGCTTCACATACATTGAGCGATTCTCAGAAGACGGAGTCCCTTGTGCAAGTGGTGTGCACACCCGTAAACTACAGGACTTTGCTGTACCCTGCTGCAAGAGACCTTCAAATTAAACTCATACTAGGAGCTAGGACGCTACCAGGGGCTCCTGGCCTTGCTACTAGGAGCAAGAAGCTACTAGGGGCTCCTGGCATCGCTACTAGGAGCTAGGACTTTGCTGCGTGAGAGCTGAGGTGAGATCCCTCTCGCTGCTGGGGCCCGATCCACACTTGGTGGTGGCCGGCAGCATGGGTACGGCCACCTGGTCGGGACCGAAGGTCAATGGGAGGGTCATTTGATGGTCATTTGAGATCATGAAGATCTTGAGACCAGGGTGGACGCCTTCAACCGGTGGACTTTGGGAAATCCAGGAGTTTCACCATGTTTGCGCGCACCAGTTCATCCTATTGAAGGACAGACTGACAGACTCTTGAAGTTTGGGGCAGTCTTTGCCTTGTAATTTGTGCTGAATCACCCTCCAATCCACAAGGGTCAGGCAAATTCCACCAGAAGAAGCATGAAGAAACCATCAAGCTGACTAGCAAGCTGTATTGAATTCATGCATGTTTCATGTCAGTCCTTAAGACCTTTCTTTCTCCATCCGATGACGCCTCTGAGGCCTCGGCGCGGATGTCGGCGGGCGGGAGGACCCAGTAGCATGTGACGCATAGCACAGTGATCTTTGCTGTTCGGCAGCTAGACTACTAAGTAGACGTCACACTATGTGTAGAATTCAGGTGTTTCGTCTTTCTCCAGTTCTGCGTGGCCCTGGTGCAATTTTGTCTGGATCTTGATGAAGCGCTGAGGTCAGACCTGGACTTGGTCCTTTGCTGCGAAGTCGAGGCAACGAAGCTTTTGAGTGGCGTGCCTCATTTGTGGTGCTTCCATGATATTCATGGTGCATCACAGGAAGCAGTTGCAGGATCCTGACTTCTGTATGTCCTTCTGTTGGAGAATCCATGTGCCCTTCAAATGGGTTTCTTGGGGCATGTAACTATGATGAACTATATGCATATTAGCATCATCATATGAACTCCATTCGTCATGATTTGCGGCATTTTACTTTGGTTTTCAATGCGCACATGAGCTAACAGACATCGTACCCGAGAAACGGACGACGCCTCCGGTCTGTGCCGGTCGAGGTGGATCCGAGGGTGGCGCTTCTCAGCTTGCGGGATGCCTTGACAGAGGCGACCCGCTTGGGTCGGTCCCGGTGGTAGGTTCAAGAAGGTTCTTCCCTTCCAAGGACGGAGGAATGATGCATTCACAGCGTCCGCAGACTCTTCCTTGCCCACTGTCTTGTGCTCAACATGCTTCCCATCGCATCGCTTCCGCGGCCGCTGCACTGTCAGGGTGAAGCGACCGAGGTGGTCTTGCTCGATCAGGTCGGACCGGGCGCGATCGAGAAGTCGTCACCCGGTCGCCCTGTGGTGTTCGTACAGGGTTATGGTGCCGCGTGATGGTTGGCTATTAAATCTGAGGTGGATCATCGCTATGTATATATATAGTTACGTAGTTATAGATATGGAAGTTTGTGCACCCATCCTGCCTTGTGGATCAAGCCTTCCAAATAATACTTCAGAAAAATAGAACGCACTGCTCACGAATGCGCGGTATCTCACAAACAGCGCGGTCAGCATGCTGTTCCAGCAGATGGAGTGAAAAAGGTCTTTGATCATAAAGAAGATTGCTCTTAATAGCGATGCCCTTTGTTCCTAGTAGCTTCTTGCTCCTAGTAGTAAGGCCAGGAGCGGAGCCCCTAGTAGCGTCCTTGCTCCTAGTAGCGATGCCAGGAGCCCCTAGTAGCGAACATTGTTCGGTAGGCACAGCCAAGGTACAAGATGAAACGGCAAGACAGGGGGAAGGATAGCTGAATGTGCAAGCAGGGATGCAAATGCGGTGACCGTTTCTGCCGGGCGGGTTTGGTTTGTCCCGCGGGTCAGGGCCTTAGACCCCCCGGGGGGAGTGACGGCCAGGCTGCCATGTCCTCCCCAGACTCCCAGTGGGACGTCTATCAGACGGCTATATGCCAGTCTAGGGTAATGGCTCGGTCTTGGTGATACTCCTGGTTCTTCCTTTTTACTTCTTTTTGTCACTTTGCTTGGCTGTGCTGAGTGAGTGGCTGCATACTTTGTCCCTTGGTGATGGGTATGTTTTGGTGTAGGGATGGCCGGTGCGCCCAGAGTGAACATTTGGGTTTGGTGCCCTGGTTTGTTTTTGCGGCTACCACCACCGCGACCTCATCATCATGCATTTGTGGCCCACTGATCCAAGCAGAATCGCTGCCAGACCTCAGTTCCATTGCTCAGCTTCCGCTTGGGAGGACCGGGGGCATGGACAGCTTGTCAAACCGGACCCAGACACCCTAGAGACATGAGACGGTCTAAGGCGGTATAGGCGTGTGTCGAAGGATGAAACCATGGTGTGTTTCCAATGTGTTTCCATGGAATTCGTGCCACCCTCCTTGTTTTGCTCGGTAAGCATCCGCCCCAGACTAGACACCTCTTGACATCTCTTGATTCTTTTGCACGTTACGGCCTTTGGGCTTTGCAGGACTTTCAGTGGACCTCACAATGTGTCCTGCTGAGTTTTTTTGCAGCTGCGTTTCGTGGTGGAAGAGCGTCATTTAGAACTTGTCAAAGCACTTGACCACAACTAATTACGCAGGAGCTCAAACAGCATTGAATTCCCGAAATCATCCGGGTCACCGGGTTCACATACCGTATTGATCAGACAGTATCGCCGAATATCTCCGAGTCTTCCCAGGAATCAGATGTCTTCCCTTCGGGACATCGTTCTCTTCCGCTACGCCATGCCGGGCACCCGAAGCGAGCTTCGTTTCGGAGCCGGGTGACGCCGCCGAGCCGCCGAACGGGAGCATACCGAGGCGCTCGGCGGGGCAAGAGCTCTCCTCCACGTTGCGGTTATTGAAGTCGGGGGACCAAAGGAATGTCTTCAAGTCGGAGAGAGACACACAGATCACATATAAGTACTATATATTTATTATATAATATTAATGTTAATATAATGTTTATATACATTTTGTTCCTGTTGTCTTGTTTTGCTTGACACTATTATCATCTATTATATATCATTTTGAATCATCGGAAGCAATATCAGAAACATCACTATCACTATGCGGATATACTACAGTATTGAACATGGAGGGATCAGAACTGCACATTCATGATCAGACAGGATGTGTATTGCATTTTTGGACAAGCCGTCCTTTCTCTTGCAAAGAGTGCGCTCATTTTGATGCCGGGAGGATGTGGATCAAAGCGCGAAAGATCCCTGGAACAAAACAAGGTACCACTGCTGGATTGTGTGGAGAAAGTGTGTGAGTCCAGACTTGAACGCAGTATTATTATGTTTGCTTTGTTTTTTGTTGTGTGCGTATGGGACATTATGGGACAACTCTGAGGAAACTACATATTTTTCAACGCACAGAGAAGTAGAATAATTACTGTATGCAGATTTGTCAGTGCTTCAAGCCCTTGGGTTGTGATTGTTGAGATGAAGGGGTTCCCAGTGTATCCAAGGAAGGCCGCTCAGAAGACCTCTGTAGTGCATGCCACATTCAATCTCTGGTGGCATGCCATCCAAGCAAAGATCACGCCCATGGAGACTGGGTTTGGACAGGCGGCTTCCCCAATGTTGTTTGGCTTCGCATGGCGGTGCGCTTCTACCAGGAGCGAACTGAGAAGCGGGGTCTTTTTGGCTTCAGCATCTGGTCACAAGAGTGTGACCAGGACGATACTTGATCAAAGTGAAAGAGATGAAGATTGCAGGGTCTCGTCTGATCTTGAAGCATTCAGCCAGTTGGAAGCAACATGTATAGTATACGTATAACCAGTATCTGCGTGTACTAAGAACAGATGGAGTCCCGGGATATGTGCCGACCGGCCAGGAGTCCAAAGGAAAGACGAAACGTGTGGCACGTGACTGGCTAAGGCGGTTCATGGTCTGGAGTCCAAGCCGGGTCTTTTTCACTTTTCACGCACCTTGCGTGTGATCATTTGTTGAGAACATTTGCTTCAGATGCAACAAATCCGGGGGTCGCATGTGGTTCAGATTCCTCTGAAGGTACTCCCAGCGCAATCTGGCTCGTGATGATTGAGTTGTCTCATGGTGTTACACTCACTTGAAATCTAGCTCGCAGCTCTCTCCTGATTTTAAGCCCCCAAACAACTACGCCACCTAAGGTTTGCGAAAAGCAACACAACAATAAACATCAAAAAACACATAAAAACACTGGATACGCTTGTGAGGTTGATGCCGCATTTTATCCGTTCGACTCAGGGCTGGGCTTGGCAAGGCCTCCCCACTGGTGGATCGTGCCTTGGCAGATCAGGTGGGGTAGACCAAAACATGGAGCGTAGACCAACGAGGCTCAGGGCACAGGAATCATTCAAAATCATGCGAAAACCAAAACTGTTAGTGAATTCTCCTGCGAGCCTCCTCTCTACAAGAGCCCAATGCAGTCCAAGGACCCATACTAATTTGCCTGGAATAACGATTATTCTTTTCAAGTCTTCATGTGAAGAGTTTGCGGGTCAACATCTATGTTGCCATGCTTGCGGCATATTTTGGTCCAGACTCATTGGTACAGGTTTTTGCCACTGGGACAGAACACATCGACGTTGGTCATGTCATGGTATGGTGTCCTGTTTGTTACAGGGGGGGCGGGGGGGGGTGGGGGGGGGGCTAATGACGTTCGATTGGATGTGCACCTAAGTTGAAGCACCGTGCACGTAAACGTTGGACGATCGATTTAGGGAGTGCATCAGTGCATCTGAGATGAAGCTACACGCATGCACGTGTTGGAATATTGGGGGGTGGGGGTAGGGTTTGGGAGGGGGGTTGGGTGGGTGGGCGGGTGCGGGCCTAATGTTTTTGGTGCACAAATACATAGCTCTTTGTTTTCAAGAACTGACAGCCACCGTGTCCCTCCCTGACAAGGCCTTTGACGCTTCATGGCGAGCAGGCACATCGATTGCAGGGCCAAAAGCTACTACGTTACGTTGTTTCTGGAAAAAGGAGCATGTCTTGTATGAGAGCGAACGCTGTCCACGAGCGATGTTTAGGTGTCCCAGACCAGAAGCGTTCCAGAACAGCTCTTGATTGTAACGAAAAGGCATCTATTTTCGGGTCGCTGGGTTTCGGTTCTGCGTCAATGGACGTTGCAGTTGATGAGAATGAGAGTGAGAATGAGTAATGATGAGTGATGCACCTGTCAAGACCCCTTTTGTCTTCAATCGTTCCCATCGATACTGGTACGTAGATCCCGTCACGTTATGCTCTCGCCCCCTCGCTTCCCCTTCCTTTGAGGAGTATTACTCGGGTCGACTGGCTGCCGGTGTGCCAGCTGCAACGTTGCAGCCTTGGTTTGACTGATTTGTACCGCTAAAAGGTCAAGTGGTCAAGCACCTTAGTTGGATGTCAATGCGGATGTCATGGGATGTGACTTGGTCGATTGGATTTCATGGGTTCTCATCGTTCTACAAACTTGCCTTGCAATGACATTGATTTGTTCGACACAGACTTGCAGGGAGCATTTTTGTGATTTTGCCCTGTTTGTTTGAGCCCTGACTCTGGCCAAGGTTGCTCCTCTTCGTCATCGAAATGGTGAAGTTTCTGGAGAAGCCCCCCGCGCCAAGCTCCTTTGGCGAGGACGCTAGTTGACCACAAAGGAAGCACTGAGAATGACAATGAGTCGAATGGGTGGGAGAACAAAGGCTGTACAGGGCTGGAGGCTGATTTTGTGGAAGCTGGAAGATGCCCAAATGCCTTAAGATGTACTGTAAAGCTTTAAGTCATTGCCGATGGCTACAGAGGAACACAATGACGACAAGAGCGCTTTTGCTGAGACTAGCTTGTAATTTGCTCTTGTGTCAAGCTTGAGCCTCTAGAAAAGCACGACAAGCACA